TTAAAACGGTTGAAGTTTTAAAATTGAAGGAGAAATATGAAGCCAACTAATTATTAAACTAATAATCCTACTAATTATTTAACTAACAATTTAATTGCCATTTTATTAGTTTTAATTATAAATTTTATTATTAATTATCTCATTAATCACTTAAGAATTCTACTGCTCATTAATTATTTAACTATTATTTATATTATTAATTATATGTTTAATAATGTATAAGATAATTATATTAATTTATAATTACTAATTATATTACTAACTATTTTATTAAGTTAAATTAGATAATTAATTTTTCCACTAATTCTACTATTAATTATTTAATTAATTAACTTAGTTATTAATATTTTAAATTATATTAATTAAGTAATCCATTAATGAAAGCGTCTAGGGTTTGCTTTTAATATTCTTTTATTCGTCCCTGGTGTTCGGCTTCGTTGGGTGTTGAGATTGCCGAGTCGCTTCTTCGGCTCCTTCGTTGCTGTTCGACTTTGCTACTTCGTTGTTGTTCGACTTTGCTACTTTGTTGTTGTTCGACTTCACTCCTTCGACGACGCTACCTTCCTGTCGGATCGGACGTTACAACATTTTGATCTGAAGCAACGACGGGAGCTCCCTCTCGCTCGCTGTGAAGGTAACGTTCTCCCTTTCGCGCGCTTCTTTGGCCAAATCCCCTAAATCCGAGTAGTAGCGGGATTTGGATTTACAAGGATTTACCGGATTTACGGCGAAAATCCGCAAATCCTGAATTTACGGATTTGCCGGATTTACAGCGCCATTTTTTGCGTTTGGCTGGATTTACCGTAAATCCTACTTAAAACGGGAAATAAATCCGATAGCAAACACCCCCCAAATCCCGCCGTTCGGCGGATTTAACAGGATTTGGCCGAAGAAGCGCGCGAAAGAAAGATGGATACCTTGGCAACGAGCAAAAACTGCAAAAGCAAGCTCCCCTAGTCGTACTTACTTCCAAACCAACAGAGAACAGCAAGGAGGTGTGGTTTCAGATCCGATATGAAGGGAACGTCGTCGAAGGAGCAAGCCGAACAAAGGAGCCGAAGAAGTGATTCGTGCAATCTCTACACTGCGGAGCAACGAAGCCGAACAGCAACGACGAAAAAGAGAAGAAGAAGAGCAAACCGGATTTACGGGATTCACTAAATCCCACTAAATTAAATCTAATCCAATACCAAACAGCCCCTAAACTCTACTTCACGGAATTTTGGCCATTTTTGCCCTAACTCTCGGATTTCGTATATCCGACATTTTTGCGGATTTCGTAAATACGACTGAAGAAGCGCGCGAAAAGGGAGAAATATTGTTACCTTCGCGGCAAGCTCCCGGCGCGACTTCCGATCCGACAGGAACAACGTCGGAGAAGTTTCAACTCTTTTAGAACTATACTTCACGCGAAGCAAAACAGCAACGATTAAATGCAGAAGATGAAAAGCAAACTGGCAAGCACTCGTTGAAAGCTCTACCCCCTACGCGAACCAGCGAAGCCAAAGCGGAAGCCCCGACATCCGTCACTTTTTAAACGATTTATAACTTACCTGAAAAAAAATATTTCACTAAATTAAAATATGAATTATTACACTACAGGCCCGAGGAGAATGCGTCGCCTTGGACCAGCTTGCTCTTAGGGCGCTGTTGGAAAGAAATCGGTATATCTTAACCAACTATCATATTCTGTATCTGTAAATACGAATTTAGATTATGATTATTAGTTTATTTCTACTATATATTCGTTCACTATATTTGTTCTCCATACACGACATACATGAGATTGACTTCCGCATCGATGCATTCAATTGTCAGATTTTTATTATCTGAAATATTAAATTATAAAACGTATTTACTTTGTTTGTGGTGATATTGTTAAGAGGGTTGGATCCAATTTTTTTTAGGATGGACAAAATTCAATATATAAAAAATAAATATCAAAATTATATATATTTTTATTAGTAAAATTCCAAAGCTTTTAAAACCGGACCGGACCGGCCGGTTACGGTTCAAGTTATAACCGGTTTCGCATTAAACCGGTGATGAACCGCTCGAACCGGCGGTCCGACCGCCGAACCGGTTCCGATTTCTTATAACCGCGCGGTTCGCTAGATCGGGTATTGGACGGCTGAGATTAACGAACTGCCGATGGATTGTGGACTACAGAGATTATATGAAGCCAAGAACAAAAAAAAAAACTATCTCATTCGTGTCGCAGCTGTCGCCTCGCGCAGCTATCGCCTTTTCGGGTTCGGCTATTTCTTTTTTCTCTCCGGCGTCTTCTTCTCCATCTCCGGCATCTCTTCTAGTCCCGAAGCTGCTCGTTCGAGAAGCCAACCATTCTGGTTTGTTCCGAAATGATTTTTTTTTTCAAAAATCAGAGACATGAATTTCTCAATGTTTTCTTCTTGCTGTTGATGAGAGCTCGCAGCAGCATATGCATGTTTTTTACTTTTTAAATGGATTTAAGGTCCTCTTGTTAATTTGCTGCGTGCTTCGGCACTTCGCAGTTTAAGTTGCCGTTTCTCATGAACTTGTGCAGGAGATTGTTTTAGTTGTATTTTGCAAGAAACAATCTCAACTTACACTTGCACAGCGGGGTAATGAACAGCTTTAAATTTCGACACAGCGTGCTTCGTTGAGTTACTGTATTTATAGCTAGTAGTTTTGCTATCAGATAGATCTTGTGATGTTTAGAAGTTTTAAATTTACGATTGACTTGGTTTTGTAGAATTTCTGGTAGCTCTGTTGCCTAAGTTTGATGGAAAAAAAAAAGTTCTCTTGTTTTCACTCATTTGTAGTGTGAGGTGAATGACTGAATGGTAGATTTTTTTGAAATGTTCATATTTTTTGTATATCTGAATGTTTTCTTCCTGTTTTTTTGGCTTAGAAATCTGGTAAAAAATAGGCTACGAGCGTTCTTCGTTACATAATTGTGTAATTATTATAATATTTAAATAAAATAAATATTAATTACGTCATCTGGTTCGACCCCGGTCGAACCATTCGACCGCTAACATCTTCTTCTTCCGGTTCATTGACCGGGCCGATTTTAAAAGCCTTGTAAAATTCTAATTAAAACCTTATATTTTATTATAATTTATGAAATAAAAAAGAAAATTATAAATTTTGCTTCTACTCTGTATTTTCTGATAATGTTGCATAATAACTTCATTTGGAACACAATCAAATATTTCTTTCTCAATATAAAACACTAGACAGTCATTGAGTCAGGCATCTCCTATTTTGCTACGTAACCAATGCTTAATAATTTTTATTGTATAAAATGCTCTCTCTACCATACCAATAGCAACTGATAATGTCAATGCCAGAACAATAAGTTTATAAAATAAGAGAATATTTTTTTTTGGCAATTACATTCTATTTTGTAAGAACTACAATGCTAGTCAAAGACATAAACTGATCACTAAACAAGTTAGTTTCTACTAGACTGATTCATGAACATTGCTAGTATAAACCCTAAAGAAATGCTAAACAACTTGAATTGGAAAGCTAAATCCTTATGACTAATAGTCTACAAGAACTACCTAATTTTTTTTAATATGCAGATAAGGAAAAAAGAGAACCAAGAAATAGAGCAAGTGGAGTAGTAGGGAGGAGCCAAAACAAATAAAAGTTACATTCAATAATGTCGAATGTAGAAGGGGACTGCAAACTGGGAACATCATATTCATGAAGACAATTGGAATAGGGAGATTTGCGAAGACGCGATTGGAAACATGGAGATGCGCGAAGATGATGGCTATGGGGCGTGGGCTACGACTATGAATGAGAGGATTGCGGAGACCTTTCGCGAAGGCGAAGGCAACCTCATGTGAATGCGACCTCTAGCGAATGAGGGGCGTGGCTGCAAATTCGATAAACTCTGCAAACAAGCCGAAGGTTGGATGGGCAAAACTGGCACATATTGATAAATTTAAGACACAAAGATTTGTTGAGGGGAGGGCAAAATTCTGAAAATGCCCCTAATAGTTAATGCTAGAATGATGACGAAGCTATATTGTCTATGGGTGAAAACGAGTAGAATTTTTGCACTATCGAACTCATCTCATCAGTCGGAAAGCGAGTTCGAACTTGAGCTTGAACTCAAGTTGAAAGTTGAGTTCTAGCTCGTTCCACTATAAACGAGCTCGAGCTGGCTTGCGAGCCTTGGCAAGATTTTTTTAAATATTTTAAACATTTATTATTAATTTTAAACATTAAATATTAAATTATTTTTATATTATTAAATAATTTAAACATGTATTACTATTGTTTTTTTAAATATTTAAATTTAATAAATAAAATTAATTTATTTAAAAAAAATTAATAATTATTCGAGCCGGCTCGCATCCTCGCGAGCTTCGCGAGCCTCATCAAGCGTGACTCATGAGCTCGATAAGCTCGACTCACGAGCTCATAAACGAGTCCAATTCGAACCGACTCAGCTCACTCACACCCCTAATATGATATAGTTCATATCCATATGCATATCTCTAGACTAAGTTAAAATAGAGGAACTTAAACCTTCTCATATCTGTATATATGTGACAAAATAATGTTTTCTTTATTAATCATCTATGAGAGTCAAAATAATGTTTTAATTATTTGTGTGTCTGATAATTATTTTTTATCCTTCTACTCGGTGAGGTGCGCCGAAGCATAGAAATCTGGCGAATATTTTCTTTTTCCCGGTGGTGTAATTCAATTGGTCTCAATTCAATAGCTCTTCATAAGCAGATAAACAAATTTTGATCGAGAAAAATGTCAAATATTGCTTATCAAAGTGATTATGTTTATTTGAATTTTTTATAAGGTTGCATGCTATAGTTTTTTTTTTTTTCTTGCTGGAGGAAAATTAAAAAAAAAAATTAAGTTGGGCTCCCATATTAAATATGTTGGCTCCCCCACTGTTAGTAAGAAATATATTAAATAGTGACAAATTTTTGTTTGACAATGCTATTCAAGGTTTAAAGTGATTAACTCATACGATATTAGTGTTTTAAATATGAGTTACTTATTTAATTCTAGCTTTACTTGATACCACTAAATTATAATTATTAATGTATCATCAAAAAATTATCTTGATCGGGCACGAATCTCAAGACAAATTCGAATAAAAAAATTCCAAAATTAATTTTGAGACCATCCAAACTTTGATTTCAGCAAACTTATAGTCGAATCAAATAATTTGGAAAGACAAACCCAACAACACCAAATTCGATCTAATTTGAGCCCAAATGAGTCCAAACCGAGGGTCCAAAGTGCATTTGGAATCTTCAAAGCATAAGTTGGACTACCAAATAATTTCCAAATGTGACATGCTTATAGTCGAATGGAGCAGCTCAACAAGAAGAATCCAACAAGCCCAAGATCACTAAATTATAACATCATTAAGAGATCAAATACATGATAAACAGTATATGATCAAAAAAAAAAATCGATATCAAATATCCATCTGAAATGCTCTCAACCTAGCATTTGTATTCTCACCATTTACTAGTCATGTCACTCAAAAAAATTATAAATAGACCTTACATTCTTCACAAAAGGGGAAGAAAAAAGAGAAATATGTGATCTCTCTTGCCACAAGCTCCTCCTTGATCACCGTTGGGCCTCTGCCCGGCCACTAGTCGTCACCGGCCTTCTATCAGGCCACTAGTCGTTGGACCACAATCGGACTTCTACCTGGCCACCAGCCATCATTGAACCGTTGACGGACTTCTACCCAACCACTTGCTATCTTCGGCTGTCGTTAGACTTCTGCCCAGCCACCTGCCCTTGTCGGACCATCGCCATACTTATACCCATACACCAGTCATCGTCAGACCTCTGTATGACCACTGACTGCCGCCAAACTTTTGTATGGCCACCAACTGTTGTTGGATCACTGCTGGACTTTTTCCATGCTACCAGCCGTTGCTGGACTTCTGCCCGATCGTTGATCATCATCGAGCTTGCCCAACCACCAGTCATCACTGGACTTCTGCTTGGCTGCCGACCGTTGCCGAACTTCTACCTAACCGCTAGCCGATGATGGACTTCTACCCAGCCTCTGATCGTCACTAAACTTTGGTCGCAGTGTCGAACGCCTTTGGACTTTCGCCCGACCACCGAGTATTGTTGAATTTATGCCTCATCATCGAACGACATCAAACTTCTGCCCAACTCTTTAAACTAATATAATTTCATTATCTCCAAATTAAAAGATGGGTCTTGCGTTGTAACTCATTCAAATTTAGTGGAATCATTCGAATTGAATCTGACCCCATGATTTTTTCCCCTTTCCAAGATTTTTCACGTAAAAATCCTGGTGCATACTCTGCTCGGTTTGTGTGATAAATATCCATACAACATGAATTCAACTAATTAAATTAATACTTAATTAATAAATAATCTAATCCTCATGACTGGCTGGTTTTCCTCTTTAGTTTCTTAACTTTCTTCGTGTCAAGCACGACACGAATCGAACCCCAAAATTTTGAATTAGGGTCAACACGTTTCACAAACGGGTCGAGTT